TATATATATATATATATATATATATATATATATATATATATATATATATATATATATATATATATATATATATATATATATATATACATATATAAAAGAGGTCCGTGACACCTCACTTCATTTTCGTAACTGGTCACTTTCGTTTTCACATTGGGGTTGAGGGCGGCGTGATCATCCTCTGCCTAGAGCGGCAGTTCAGCTTGTTCTGGCCCTGATAATACACTCTCAGAAACAAAGGTACAGGAGCTGTCACTGGGACAGTACCTTTTTTAAAAGTTGCATATTTGTACCCAAAGAGTCCAGTGGTACCTCAAAGGTGCATATTATTGCCCACATGTACCTAAAAAGTACCTTTGAGGTGCCATTATAGACCCTTCAGGTACAAATATGTACCTTTTGAAAAGGTACTGCCCCAGTGACAGCTCCCATACCTTTATTTCTGAGAGTGTAGGGCAGGGGTCACTAAACTTGTTCCTAGAGGGCCGGTGTACTGCAGATTTTAGCTCCAACCCTAATCAAATGCACATCCAGGCAGGTATGAGGGTAGTTGGAGCTAAACCCTGCAGGGACACCGGCCCTCCAGGACCAAGATTGGTGACCCCTGGTATAGGGGCTCTATAAAGTAAATCTATCACCATTGACTTCCATAGTATTTGTTTTTTCCCCTGAAAGTCATTGGTTACAGGTTTCCAGCATCACTCAAAATATCTTCTTTTGTGTTCAACAAAAAGGGGAATTCATAAATATTTGAATCAACCTGAGGGAGAGTAAATAGTGATTGAGTGTATTTGATTGAGTGTAATTGAGTAATTTGCATTTGACCTATTTCTTTAATAACCAGCCAAACCTTGATGCTTTCGATTCGCATGTACGGTCCACATTTCGAATCAAAGTTTTTCGTTCCTGCTTGCTCGAGAGAGAAACAGTACAGTGTTTTAAGGCCTATGTTGAGTTGTTCTTACATCTGTGCATTCTCTAAATAAACAGCCTGTCAACAGCCCGTCTGCCCCGGCATTGTATACACGGCACAGCGTGAAATGGCCAATACAAATAGGCTTGAGCTGAACCATATTGCATTTTAAGCATAACGTAGACCAGCTGCATTATCACACTAAACAGCCGGCTCTGAAACTCATCTACGACATGCCAAAACATCATGCCAGGTCTGCATCACTTGAAGGCATCCACACACTCTATAGTTTATTCTGGAAATGCATTGAGTTCAGTTGTGTGCGTTGCAGTCGTCGATCCATCACGCAGTGAAAAATCGGCTTATTTGTAACATTTATTGCAACAAACTGAGAATGATCAATGACGAGTCCATTAGGGATCAAAAATATCCCGACAAGCATAGAAAAACGATCAAATTAATAGATTCCGACGAAAAGGACGAAGAAAGCCAAAGTAAATAAATATGTCAACAAACTGAAACGACAGCTGTGGAAATAAACAGACGCGCAGATGGTCTGCAGACACCTGCAATTACTTATGGTTTTCTAGAAATATTGCTGTTGTCGTGTTCAGGAAAAACTCACACACAAAACACTGAAAGTCTGCGCTGCTGATTCTGCCGTCGTTCTTTAACCCGCAACCTCCCGTAGTGTAAAATCAAAACATAGTCAGACGTCTCTGTCGCGCTTATATTTCAGTTTGTGCTTGCTTTGCTGTTTGCAGTAAGCTCGTAGCTGCCAGGGAAATTGCCTTCATTAATAGTGGACTGTTTACCTAATGAATCAGACTCTTGCTTTAGGTGCAGCCTGCGGTGCAGTGACGGGTTCTTGGCTCTTCACGGCGGCTGGTTGGTTTTGTCAAGTACAGCTGTGAGTTTGTCATTACAGGAGCCATGCAGGGTAGATTGTGGAGGTAACAACAAAAATGAAATGCTCTTTTTACTTGCAATTAAAGGCACAATATCTGTTTTTTTAATTGGAATTATTAGGTTCCTTGCGGCCTTAGTTGGCTAACGATGGTTTTGGGAAACGCATCCCAGGTTGTGCATTATATTTTTCCACACTATATGCTAGCCTATGCCGTGCAACAGGTAACAATTTTGCTTTAGACCTAGATATCCAGTCAAAGCACCTCGCATCCCGGCATTATGTATATATTAGCTAATTATTAGGGGCCAAGCACCGTAGGTGCGTAGGCACCTATTGCTTTCGTTAGTGTTCTTCTTCTTCTTCTTCCGTTTCTTCCGCCGGATTTGAATGGCAGCCCATATAGGTGTATGCGGGAAAGTTGTATAATTTGGCACAATGATAGAGGACAGTATTTACATTAATCAGACCAAACATGAAGTCTTAAAATCAAACTCTCTAGCGCCACCACTTGTCCAAACTTTCACATACGTTTATCATCATAACTTTTGAACCGAATGGGCTACAATCAAATTTCTTTTTTTCTCTGATTCCTTGGCTCAGTCCGATTCAAACGCACCCTATGACGTCATTTTCCGTCATGAATTTTTTCACGCTATTTTACATTTTTCAAAAAACCTATTTGATCGAACTCGTCCTAGGCCGTTTCTCCGATTATCACCAAAATTTAATCACATGATCTACAGACTATGCCAACCAAAAGTTTTGGAATTCAAGTTGATTTGACCAACCGTTTTCGTTTAACTTGCGATCAAATTTAACAAAGGACTTGCGAAAATGGACTTGAGATGATATCTTCGTAACGCATTCACCGATTCACACCAAACTTGGTATGTGTTATGACAACTAGGGTCTGAGGTTACATGCAGAGTTTCGGCGCACTGCCCCCTAGTGGTCCGGAGATACAAAAAACTTTCTTTTTGGCTTATAACGTCTCAACCTTTCGTCCCAAACTCATAAAACTGGTGTCATTACATCCGGCGAGTCAAATGATGTCTGATTTTCACAGGTCAGCCATTTTGGGCGTCGCCCATTTCGATTTTTGGCCAAAAATGCTATATTTTACCAACATATTCACATATCATTACAAAACATGGTATGCATCTTCAACCCCATGCCCTGAAAGTCTTTAAAAACTTCTGGAGCAGCGCCACCTTTTGGTCAAAAGTGCTTGGCCCCTTAATTGCTGCTTGCAGCTATATTTATGATTATTATTATTATTGTTATACATTACATTGTATTGGGGCGAAGCAGTGGCGCAGTAGGTAGTGCTGTTGCCTCACAGCAAGAAGGTCGCTGGTTCGAGCCTCGGCTTAGTTGGCATTTCTGTGTGGAGATTGCATGTTCTCACTGCGTTCGCGTGGGTTTCCTCCGGTTTCCCCCACAATCCAAAGACATGCAGTACAGGTGAATTGGGTAGGCTGAATTGTCCGTAGTGTATGAGTGTGTGTGTGTATGTGGATGTTTCCCAGAGATGGGTTGCAGCTGGAAGGGCATCCGCTGCGTCAAAACTTGCTGGATGAGTTGGCGGTTCATTCCGCTGTGGCGACCCCGGATTAATAAAGGGACTAAGCCGACAAGAAAATAAATGAATGACATTGTATTGTATTGTATTGTTTACAAATTTGTGTTCTTTTTTATTCTTTAGACTACGTTTTATTTATATCTTTAGGCTACATTTTATGCATAATTGTATTTATTGTAAATTCTTTTTTAAAACTCAACTTTTTGTATTAATATTACATGTTAGGCACCTAGGGTCTGGGAGTAACGTAATTTCGATTTTCTATATGTCCTCTACA